TAGTTCTTACGTATTAGCGCCTTATCGAATTTCTACGGACTTGTCGTGAACGGATCGTGAAAAGGAGAAATTGGGTCACAACTCATCTGAGTATCATCGGGGGCACCGGAAAGTAGAATTAAAAATGGTTCAGTTGAATCACTAAATCCATTGCTCTGGACGGAAAGTGATGTGAGATGATGCCCATTTGTTAGATTCTTGCAGGTTGCATGCATCATAAGCTCTGCTGAACGGGTCGATATTTTTGCATCGGAAGAGTGCTACGATTTTGATATTATAGTCTAGCAAACTCTGCTGTGTACTCAAAAAAAGCTCAAGTAGTTATCTCCGGAATCCCACGAAATCAACAGTGATTAAAAATTCTGACTACACTTTCGCACCTAGCTCTTTTTTCCTACGAGTATGAATTTTCAGTCTTCTCATCCATTGTTTTCAGTTGCAGTCCTCCGGAGAAGAACATTTACTCGTCCCTTCTGAAGACTACAAGTTTCTATGCTTTACGCGTGGAGGCAACCATCACGGGAACTCTATTTACATATCTTTTTTTTGTGAAGACCATTGAAAAAAATGACATGAAAAAGAAACTACTTGCCAAAACATTAGTCAACTCCAATGGGTTTCCGCCTGCAAACGCTATGTGGTAGTTGGGGTTCTGGAAAATAAGGTCTCCTCTTCTATAATTAGAACTGGATGAAGGGTGCCTAGTATGGACTGAGTACCAGAATTGGTTACCCTTCATTCATCGCCCCAAGAAAACGTACGTTGGACATTTTGGGGGTCTCTCTGTACTCTTAAGCGACCTCCAAATACTGTAGTACTGGTACAGTTCACTGTAACTATGGAGTATGTGGGTGCACTGAGTTGTACTCTGGTGGGGCAATCGTCTGTATAGTACCTGCCTGCTAACATCCACCCGGAATTTATCATCTCCGTATAGCCACATTTTCTGTAGATGCACGCTTCCTGAACAGCAAATGTTTCTCACCAGCCCATACGCAGGCTTTCTATCTCAGACCCATAGTTTAAGTGAACAGCGAAACGGACTCCCACAAACATGCCTGAGTAATGTTCATCACACTTCGTAGCTCCTGTGCTACAAGAGCACTGGTACAGATATGCACACGTCAAGCCCCTACCAGAAGTTTCATTGTGGAATTGCAGAATATGATATCGCAATGAGGAATGCCGGCGAAACAGTGATTGAAGTGATGCTTATGGTCAATTCCGTGGGACGGACAAATGTGCCACGAAAGCAACATTCCTGCAATTCTATTCAACGGATTTATTAACAGTTGAAATAGATCTCTTTCAATCCAACTGAATAAGGAAGCCCGCAAATCGCTTTGAATAACTCTTCGTCTTGGAAAGCGAGGCGTTCAGGATAGGGTACAGCAAATGAATTGACGACGTAATCAATCGTCAAATGTTTGTCTCTCTGTTGACATTAGGGTACATTCACAGTTCTTGCCCTTCCGTATTTGAGTCAACGACATCATAATGAAGAACGACTTCACAATGGTGTGTACATGATTTCTATTGAGTGCTATATAAAGCGCAGTCCAGTAATATTAGTTTTGTAAAGAAAGGTGAAGGTGATGAATTTATATCATTTTTCGCTTTTTAGCATTATGAAGCTACAGTACGTGTGTGTTTATCGTTCTGCTCGTAATACCTTTGGAAATTATAGATAATTTATGTCCTTAATTCAACAAAGATGACTGATCTGAAGCGTGGCAACAGTGTTCTACAAGAAATTTGTGACGCTCGCAAGATGGTGCGTGGCGCGGAGTCTGTATGGAAAATCAGCCCGCGAACTTGAAGAGTGCTGCGGCGGCGTCCCAGAACTCGTGCGATGCCCGGCTTAGAAATGTGGTAGACGCAACGCGGCCCTGGATGAGTGCATGACGGAGTTCACGAAACACGCCGGATAAAGGAAGGGTCAAGGGCCAGTTCTACATGGAAAAATAGTTGGCAGAGGGCAAAGCGGGGTCATTGCAAATATCGGTACTGTACGAACACAACTAGAGCTATTAAATTTTTCTTTTTGGTTGCATCACTTATGCTGCTATTGGTTTAACTTGAAGAGGAAATAATAAACCCCCGAGACTAGATTGCCGAGGTAGATTACGAGGCATACTAAAAAAAATCGAAATATCCGCATGAAGGTAACTTGGTCAACCGTCGTGGGAATATATTTTGTCGAGTGCAGGCGAAATATTTTTCGAAACTTCACTCTGATGATTGCAAGCGTATGTTTCCTGGAAAAGCACTGATATCTATCCATCCCACTCGAAAAAAAAAAGATCAATTGAAATGAGCGACACCCCGAGAAATCATAGTTGCAGACATCTAGACATATGTTTTTGCTCTAAAGCCGCAATGATATATTGCAAGCACAGTGGTGAGTTGTACAGTGATTTCTTCACATTGATCTTCTTCCTGGCTGCTGGTCAACGTTTGAAGACGAATGCAAGCTCAATGCCGGGGCCATTCGATTGAAGCTCTGCCAGTACGGCTCGGATGTGTGTAGTTTCAGAGTGATCGATTTTAGACAGATGTTCGGCACATGTAAGTAAATAAACTGCAACATAAATCACGCATAAGTGAATATATGGTCGATTAGAAAATGAATGAAAATATTTGAAAGAGGGAGAAACTTGTAACTAATTATAGTCGGTATAAAGCACGCGGTCTTCGAGCTTGTTAACGCTTTTAACACTACACGACAGCTATGACGTGTATGCAAAAGCCACAACAGAAAGTCTTAAAGTCTGTAACAATCCATCTATTCCCGAAACCCCACCGATTGAATTGCGGTATGCTGCTGAATTCGACTACATGGATTCAAATTCTTTGGTGTTTCTTGAAAATTGAGTTTCTTTTCGCAGGGGAATAAGATAAAAGGGCGGTGATCCAGAAGTCATTCAAATGCATTATTCTTTAAATACGTGGTTTCTTATTGATTTCCTGGGTGCGACAGGGGTTGTGGACAGCTGCCATGTAATGAATGTGTTCAACAGGTTTATAAATCGCCATGTCTTCTAGTTCTCGGAGAACTTCTTTTTGGAAATTGTCCACGAAACTCTGCATGGGGCTCTCTTCCTGGCGATCCCATGAGAAATGCCACAGGAAATTCTCTATGTCATCTCCAGGTTGTGGGCATAGAACCTCGATGCACGATAAAACAAGTCCAGTACTTCTGTTGTGGTCCAGATGCAAAGCGAGGCAGTTGACCAAGCCCCCTCTCTGCTGGCAACGAGGATTAACAGCTTCTGTTCAACGTCATTTTATAATGGACTACTCAGAACTGCATCGAATTCAGAGAGAGCACGATTTTCTCTCAACAACAATTTTGGAAGCTGATTTGCACTGGGGGAGGCTTTTAGCCAACAGACTATTCATAAATCCGATACCAGAGCCTTTTTGAGGACGAGTCAGTTTACTCATAAATGGAGGCCCTGCTATAATACGAAGTCGAGCAGTTTGCGTGTCTAGAAAGTAGTGAAAATCTTTTTGCCACTGAGAAGGAACGGAATTGATAACTTGATACACAGTGCAGGTCCCCAAAAGAAGTGTAAGGGTGAGAAGCGTTGGCTGTGCCTTGATAATCTTTAGTGTATTTTTTACAATTTGCTGACTGTCGGCGGATTTCAAAGAAAACGCTGTGCGAGGTGATGCACTGAGGACAAAGTTGGAGAGCATTCAAAAATATGGTTTATATCCATGTGATCGATCTTGAAACACTCCAAATGACACCTCTTATGAATATGTTCAGAATGTGCACATCAGGTGTAGATGTATAGTTCTGAGGGCAATGCGACAAACATAATGAAACTGATTGTACCGTTTGGAAATGGTCGTGTCGGTTGTGGAATCGCAATGTCGTATGAACCAATAAGTACGACCGTTCTGAGGAGATATACACTCCTTGCCAACACACATTCCTTTAGGTATATTCGAAAAAACCGTATGCATGTACAGTAGACTAACGCCTCCAACTCAAGACACCCATGACAGACTGACAAAAATAGAAACTTATTCTTTGAGGCAGGAACTATTTGCACTATACGACGCAAAGTATTGGGATGCTGTTTTTATATTTTCATATCTACTGCATTTTCGGATAGTGGAATCGTTCTCACTGAAATTTCATCATCCGCAGACTCAGTGCAACACGGTGGCGACTCGTGCGAGGAGTTTTAAACCAGAAGTGCTGGATGGGTATAGTCCTGGTTGATACAGATGTTCCCAACTGTATTCCTATAGGTTCATCCTCATGTAACCCGATCTAGTGAACACGTTTTCTTTATATTTTACAATTTGATCTGTGAACGGTTAAGGCTTTACTATCCTTTTAGGTGAAATGCACCGATATACAAGTATACAATCTGTTTGTTCTCAACACTTGCTTCGCAAGAATGGCATCAGCCTGAAGTTCGTTTTGTTATCCGGAACTGCCTCTGTAGTTCTTGCATTCAGTTCTTTATTAGTTACAGAACGCTCACTTTGTTTCTTTTTGATAGGCCAAAACAGACGTATCGGTGAAGGGAAGAATATCATAGTGACACATTTTTTGTCCTGAATACGTAGCACGGACCAGCGTTTGTTCTCAAATCTCGTCATATTTCCTCTCTCCAGAGATAACTTCCAATGCAACATTTAGTAGTTGAACAAGAGGAAAATGATGAAAAGCTGATTGCTATTCGGCATCTATTGACTAATATGATCATATGTCTATTTGGGCCTTTACAGTTTGCCTTGCCCAACATGTTGAACTCAGGTTATTTTCACGCTGACCAATAGATCGACGCAGTCGCAAAGAAGTTTACAGATGTGAAGTATAGTGTTGTCGCTGTGAATCGAGTAACTGACGATCACCAGAATGAGGGAAAGCATTTTTTGCTGTAAAATGCGAAAGGGCTTTCAGGGTTTATCACCACTTGAATTCCATTCTTCAAATATATGCACGTCTTAGACAAATCCAAGAGCACAAATACAAGATGCCATCCTTCATCGTATCCTCAAACGAGAAGATGGTCTCACCATTTCTTGGGACGGGCATTTTTATGCCCACCTGTTCACCTGCAGTCACATACCCAAGTCTTGATCGACCTTCAATCACGCTGATAGGGCTTGTTTCTTCTTCTCTTGACAAAGAAGAAGCAATTTCTGTGACCATGAACTGATTTCTTCAGATGATGAAGACTCGGACAAAGGAATCAGGTATGACTTGCAAAGGTTAGAGTTAGATGTTCTGGGCATTTTTTAACTGAAGTATCACATTTCTTTTGAAAGTATCCCAGAACATCCAGCTCTGCCCTTCTTAAGTCTATATGTTTTCTTCTCCCTGTGTCTGGCTATACCTTCTTCGAGGGAGGACTTCATTTCCATTTCATGTCATTGTCTTTACGCATTGTCGTCATTTCCGATCAACATTTTCGTCTTCTTTTCAATACGGTCTCAGTCGTTGATGGTACCAAATTCTTCCTCGTGAAAGAAGGTTCGAGTACTTTTATTCTTTGAATTGATCGACTATTCTCTTCTGAGAATGGCCACTATGATTCGAGGTCCAAATCGAACAAATGGTTCTAGAATCGGCAAATAGCTAAAAGCCCAGGGTGTTTTCGATGGCAAAGTCGCACAATTGAAATTTCTTGTTTGTTTCATCAAGGAACTCGGAATCCTTTGTCTCTGGTGTTGACGGCAGTTCAAACAGGCACTCATCAATACATGTGCCCGTCGTCGGGAGTCCGGAGTACGGTTCCCAGTCTGGTGCAGTATGCAGTTCCCCGTAGGGAACAGTGTATCAAGTAGGGCAAACTGAATGATGAGTATCTCTTTTGAAAATATGGATACAGTCATCCGCCTTCACAGTAGAAGCACTGACATCATGGGAAGGGATCCTTCCTGTATGAAATGAATTCGGCTGGCTTCATGGAGGAGAAACACCTTTGTTTGAGAAGCTGGTGGGTTCCACCTGCATGAGAAGAGCATTATGTGAATAATGTCCACAAAGATCTGAAGAATTTTCTGGATTCCACGGGCAAAGCTTTCATCAGCGAGGGAGCTCAATCTGTCTCAGCAGAGAGAAATTGATGTGATTATTCAGATATTCTCAAATACATATGCTGCAGTACTGGCATACAATGGAAAAAAGTGACAGAAGGTGAGACTCAGAACGAGACACTTCATGTTTGATGGCTTACGAAAACAAGAACTCGATCACGCATTTTAACCACGATGGAAAGTCGTTGTGAATGTAAGGACCTCTAAGTGATTAAACCGTCGTCGTTTTTCGTGATTGGAAGCAACAGTTTCATTGGAACGGAACTGCAACAAAAGCACCGAAAGGTGAACGTCGACGTACTGTGCAGTTAGCCGCTTCAACTATTGACATGCCTTTGAAAATGTCACCTTTATTTCACAAGCGCGGCTCAATACGCTTGCCAGCTCCGCTTCTGCAGCCGACGAGTGCAATTGATCGCAACAATTCTGTCTAATGAGGGATTCTTCTTCTTGACCCGGTAGACATTAGAACATTCACCAGTGATACGAAGGACATAAGAGGACACATGCCCATCAAGCGAGAGTAGCACGAACGAGACTGGTGGCTTTGTCTCGTCCAGACAAACATTATGCTCAAATCTTGACAAATGCACAGCTCAAGATATGAGACGAGGGCACCGACTTCATCAACAAATTTGTCAAGCCATTTGAGAGGAGGACGAGTGCTAATTTCAGTGATTGCAGCTCATGTACATAAAAGGTAAAATGGCATGGTAGACTTCAACTGCGCCATAGGTGTACGGCTGCGAGAAAAGAGGCTTGCTCCGCATTGGGAATGGGAAGGTTTCGGGAACATGACAAGCCAATAGTTCGATATGAACCTAACCATGTGATTTTACCGAATGCGTCTCTTGCATTACGTTGCGTATTCGAAATGACAATGGATAGATGCCTAACCAAGCTTCGGGTTGGGGGCAAGAGAAAAATCGCGACCCAAGCGAGAGTGGAGACAGTCAACTTTCAAGTGTGAATGCAAAAGATGTACCGGGTGGACATGCCTCTTTAAGAGTATAGATCGCACGGTCCGTATCACTCGCAGCTAAAAACGTTTCCGATGGCCGTGCCGGCAGAAGCAGCTCCACGCACATCCCCAATAAAATCGGAAAAGGGCCAATCGCGATTTTTGCCTTGGTGAGCTATCGGAGACCGCCCTGCTCCGTGGAATCTCACCTTTCTTTTTTGTTTCCGCCTATTGGTGTTCAAGTCAGGCATACCATCTGAAAATGATGAAATGAAAATATTTTCTTACATGCCAGCAGCAACACAGTTGGACGTAGTGGAAGAAAAACCGTTATTATTATTATATTATTCTTCCGGGTATCGCCAATAAATGCCTGTGTCCAAGGGCAATAGATGGATGTGCTTTGCCATATGCGCAACACAAGAGAGTACCAGAGAAGTAGTTCTCGTTGAGCGCAGTATATCTTTGGTACTACTCCAGAGACTCCACTGCAGTCAGGGTCTGTTTAGTGTTCCTTTTCATCGAGTACGAGATTCAGAATTTACAGCTGCATGTTCAACAGTCGGGATATTGATTGCCATCTCTTACATGACATGTATCTTACAACTCGGATGAACTTGTCTCCAATTTCGTAGTTGCTTTGCTTCTCTCTACCACCAAAAAATGGCAGACATATTGAAGAAATATCTTGCAATCAAAACAGACATATTTATCACTTTCCATGATGAGAAACTAGCATTTTCCTTTTTTCTATTGAGCGACGCATATTGCTAGGAATCAGATACTACCACAAAGTTCACATTGCGAATATACCAAATAAAGACTTCATAGTGCGCTCACTTGCAGACATGCGGTTAATGAAGCGTCTGTCTTTTCGGAAGGGAATAAGATTAAGCCATCGCAATGGCTGTGATGCTCCTGCAGCAACGCTAAAACCAGAAATAGAGATGCACCACTATATTGCACGCAGCTTTCCTTCTTTGTATGATGTCTAGCGTAAGTTCTTTTAGCTCACATCAACAGCATGCTGATAGAAGCAATGTGTCATGTCCATCATAAAAGAGCCCATTCAGTCACCAATTGTCCATTCATTTGTGCAACAATACCTGATCTATCAAAGATCTTGACTCCTGTGAGTGAGATAGTTTGGGACATCAATATCTACAGTACTCTTGAAGTCGTCCTTGGTCAGCCTAGAAGCTTGCCGCGATGTTGCCATTTAAATGCTTACAGTGGGAAACATGCCACATGTGCGACGAAGCTATGATAATTAATAAGTTGGGTGAGGCACAACCAAACAACGAATTGTATCAGTATAACAGGTATAACATGCTCGGATATTTCTACCTAGAGTTTCACTTGTGCTTGAGGTATATTTTACTAGAAGTTTAGGTCCTGTTTAAAATATCAAGTTCATCGTATCATACACACACATACTAGAGGATATGACATCTGTGGGGCGCGTCACCAGAGGTATGACGCGTGCTGGAAGAGGGCTACTACTGTCTATCCGCCCATTGTTTTCATACGGTGGTGGCAAAAATATCATGCACGCCCCCCTCCTAAGTGTACATTCCTGGACAACAAACAAAGCGTCATTAACAGTACAGTAGACCTTCCGTTCAATTATCCGTTAATCAGTCAAAAATCGCGAATCTAACCAAAATTCGGCGTTAATGGGAAAAGGCATCTCCCTTGCACCACTCTGCAATCAATATTTTTTAAGGACCGTATTCTGAAAAAACATCCTGGAAGTCAAAACGTTCACTGACAACGTGAGGTCTCGATCTTTATTGAAAACCACATACTACGCGCCAAATGGCGCCTCGGTTACCTCATCAGAACCGTTCGTGTTCCTGAAACGCACATCCATCCGCTGTCGACGCCTCTGCCTGTAGCGCTCTTGCGCTCTTCGCCGCTTTCGAATTCCTTCCTCTACAATTGTGTAAAGCTTATTCCTTACTGTCTGGTAAAACTCATTATCATCGCCACGTAGTTGGTTCAACCTAACGTGATAGTTAGTGAGCGTCAGACAAAAGCAGAAAATCATGTCGTAGCTCTCTCCATTCCAACGATACTTGTGGGAAATAATTGCCCACAAGCAGCAAATACGTCCAAAGTAGTTCTCAACAATAATACGGTCAGATGCCACATCAGCATTAAACGCGACATCTTCTTCCGGGATCATCCTATGTGCTGGCTTTTTTGTAGGGTGGACTACACGGGCGTACTCTCCAGCTCCTTTTTATCCCTTATCCATAACACCTCCCAATGCCGACTAAATGCGTCAACCAAGATGCCCGTGTCCGGTCCATGCCTTTCTTTCTGAGACTTGCGCAGAGCAGCAGAGTGAAACGAGATGTTCCTGTAAACATTTCAATTTCAGCCACGGCACCAGGATGTTGTTCAGAGCATCCAATTGCCAGCCCATTCGGCACGACAAAAACTTCCGTTTTGTACCCATATAGTTTGTGCTTCCCACTGTAGTAGCATTTCGCCTCTTGAAGGTTTCCCTTGGGACAGTTCGTCTGGTGAAAGGTCACGTCCGTCGCGTAACGCGCATACTTGAAGTTGTAGAAAACACTGTTTTGTTTCATCAGTTTTTTCATCGAGAACTTCTTCTCTGCTTTCACCACGAGATCAGTAAAAAGTTCCTCCCATACCACTTTGAGGTACCCTGTAACAAGCTTTTTGAACGTGGGTCCGTTAATTTTGAATATTTGTCCCAAAAAATTCCCATTGTCCTCCATGCTTCATGACTGTGAGTAATATGAACAAAACATGCTTAGGGCGTTGAGTGGAGTTGAGATCTCGACCAACGTTCCAGTTTGCGGTGACCTGGGCAGCGAGCAAGTCCCAAATGTAGTTGAACTCCCGTGGACTAAAGTTGACCATGTCCGATCTAAAGCGCGACCCACCGGACCGGTAGAAGGCGTCGAAAATTGGACACGGGGAGTCATTCTCATCTTCTGATTCGGGGGAAATCGAGGTATCTTGGAACACAGATAGCCCGGTGTCGCGCTGAAAAGCTGCGTCGGTAGGTATTTGAAGGGCAACAGCTGCGTCGTTTGCGGTAAGGCCTGTTCTCGTCATATTTGTTGAGAGGAGTGTCGAGCAGAGCCCTGAAATGGCGTTGCAGAGGTGTGGCGCAAGTGCTGT